AGGCTTGTCTGGATCCATGCTGGTCGCAAACCCATTATGTTGGTTTTGTCGTGACGCGGCTCATTTTATGAGCTCAGTGTCAGATCTAAGGTATTTGTTTGGTCAGAACTAGCACAGAATGTTCATTGACCAGTGCAAAACGTAAGAAATGTCGACATTGTTCAGAATATTTTTAGAAACTTGATGCCCTGGAAAGAATTGCTTAATGAAGTTATCTTGTGTAGCTGTAATAATTTTTTAGGAAGAAAGAGAAATTACCGCTCCACATTTAATTTGAATACTAGCACTCATATATCAATAATGTGCTGTGAAATTACTATATTAATATTGTCTTAACTATGGCATTATATTGAGTTCTCTTTTTTATATGGTAAACGGTATCAATTCTTAGACATTTCTTATTTTATTTCATTATATAGAAACAACATTATCATATCAAAATTGGTAGTTGCGAAGCGTCTTAAATTTGCACGTAAGCCGCTAGACCGCTTCCGACCTTTTTTTTTAAAATATAGAAAAATATTTTGGTTTACATGAGAGGGCCTACATGAGATTTCCAACAGTAACGCATCTCTAACAATCCAAAGCATACGGAAATTGCTGCGGTGCTTGTCCTTCATGTCCCCCATCCCCTCCGCTTCGAAGTTGGCCTACATATAAATTTACACGAAGCTACGGGCCTTAGTCGTATTTGTGAATACATGTAATATACGTAATATACTAGATAGTTATTTTTGCGGAATTCTGTTACGGAATGTATCTACAGATTAGTATGTAAAGTATATCATATTTCTACTCGTGACATAATTGTTAATAAATGTCATAAAATAGTTATATACCCTGCCTTTATCATTGTATCTAAAACTGTTCAGATTTCAGGGCCCGTCACTACTGTTCAGTGTACACTTGTACAAGTTTTGACGGCTTAATTAAGATTCAGTGTTAACAGGTGCTTGTTTTACATCAATCAAGCGTCTGTGTGCCATCACGAATTCTAAATTTTGGAGGAAAAAAGTCCTGTCATGCTTGTAGAATGAAATAAAGTGTAGCTGAGTCAAGAGTCTTTTGAAAATATTCAGCGAAATCTTGTATTATTATTATTATTATTATCATTATTATTATTATTATTATTATTATTATTATTATTATTATTATTATTATTATTATTATTATTATTATTATTATTATCCAACCCTTTACTCCACCAATCCATCAACCCATGTATGTATTTCAATTTTAATTTTTAATATTCATATAAATTTATTCAATCTCTACATATTTAAGCATATAAATATTATTCCATAACCACAGAGTGGAAAAGTGGATAATTGTCCACCTTGTAAAATGTACGAGTACTTTTTTTTAGTGTTCGGTGGAGTTTTGTTTTCCCTATTCCCCATTCACTTTATGGAACTGTGAACATTTATTTTAAAGAATCTTACAAACGGCTGGCTGAATTATGCAGGCTTAAATCTGTCGACCTCATTGACCTAGCGAATGTAAGAAAAGCAGGGGATAATGTTATCTGAACTGACATTTTAATACCCATGAGAAGTGATATTAAAAGAATATATCATTAAGTGGGTTTTATTTTTTCCTAGAAAATTGTTAAATCCCCGTAATTCAAAATTTATCTAAAACATGAATGTTCAACTTGCGCATATCTAAGCTCCCTAACTTATATTTTGTGGCACTCATATATTTAAAGGTGAAATTCAAACTAGATTCTGCTGATTAGATGTAAAGTATTTTGTTAAGAATTCAATTAAACTTGTTTTGCAGAGCTTATTCCAAACCTTTAGTCCATTTTGTCATGAAGCTAACTTGTGTATATATCTGAGATTTTGTAAACGTAAATGTTGCTTCCATGACGTTTCATCGTAAGACATCTCGTCGAGTGTCACAGTTAGCCGAATCCGACATTTGATAGAATTGTATAACTTGTAGAATGCGGTTGAATTTATTTTTAATGTCGAAATTTGTCCGAACAATGTAAATTTTATTTTTAAGAAATAAATGAATCAGAATATTAAATCCCGTTTTTTATTTTTTGTATTAAAAGTAGAGCCTTCTCACGAAAATAAACTTTTAACAATAGTTGTCATTTGCGACTAGTCCAATGGTAAATCAACAAAGAGCCGTGACGCAAAACCTTTTTCGCCCGCAAACCGCGATACATGCTGTTCGCTATCAGTTTCTCAACTTTTAATAGGGTTGGTAAAGCGAACAGCATGGATCCTGATCAGACTGCGCGGATGCGCAGGCTGGTCTGGATCCATGCTGGTCGCAAACCCATTATGTTGGTTTTGTCGTGACGCGGCTCAAATTTGAATTTCTTACACAGATCACCTGGGACACTTACAACAGAAAGATATGAGAAATATAAGAAAGAAATACACCCAGATATATATTGAAAAGGGTATGTTCGTGCAGTTCTTAGCTAGATTTAAGTGAAAGCGTTGCAACGATTTTCAATTTTGGAACATATTTCGCAATTAGAATAGTTTTCTGTAAAAACCTGAAAATTTGTACTCAAGTTATTGGTCTAGACCTACATCAAATGGAACATTTATCTCAAAAGAATATTTCGAGTCCCGTGATGTCAAAAAAAACCTGTGGATGTCCTTTGACACCAAACAAGAGCTAAAATGCGTTTAAAATCCTTTTTAAGCAAAATATAGTTAACCTTAAGCCAGCTTAAACATACAAGCGGTTCTTTAACTCAAGAAGATTTAAAACTAATTTTAATTTGTAAATTGTATGTCTTGGAATTAATTGATTGACTTGTGCACTAAAACTTCACACCAAGTCTTCCCATTCACAAGATCTTATCATTTTCACATTCACAAAGAGTGGGGAAATCCAGGAAAAAAACGGAAAAAAATGGTCTGCAGTTTTTTGTGCCATGTTACATCTCTATCTGCGAAAATATTTGGAACGAGGCATTACTATCTACTAGTGTATCTTTCAGGTTGCATGCACGATTGACGCGTGCATGATGCATACGTGCACGTGGGGCGTAGTATTGAAACAAGAAGCAATTTCTTTCTTTGTTTTGGAGTCAAATTGAAGGCAAGGTCTATAATTTATAGTAATTTGATACATCAGATCGTTCATGAAGTTTAGAAAACAACATCATATCTCAATTTAATATCTAAATCCTCGTTAATCTTGATTTTTTAGAGGCGCAGTTTCGAATTTTGACTAGAATTCTCGTTTATACGCCTACAAACAATTTAAATGACAATTCATGCTTAGATATCTTTAACATGGACGTTTCTTTCTCTTCATTTTTTTAAAGAATATAATTCTTTTTTTTTTTTTAGAATTTTCATATTTTTTATGAATCTAGAATACAACAACAACGTTTTATTAAGCATTGCATACCTGTAAGGCAGTATTATTTTTATAAAATAAATGAAATGAAATATAAAATAATAAAAAATAAAATGAAAAAATATCTAGAAAAAAAAAAAAATAATAATTTTAAAAAAAATGAGACAAGATATGATGACATTTTTTTCTTCTGAGTAGGAATACATTTTTCTTACAATCAATTTTTGGCAAACGAAGACGTAACGGTGGATTTCCCTACTCAATAAATACATAAAATAAATATTTTCACAACAATTAGACAAACAATGGTTGGAAGATTACGAAGCCATTGTCTTATGTCGGCTTGTTTCTTTTATGTTTGCACGTGACCATAATCGGATTTCTCACCTTTTAAGATCAGTAATTCGGCTAATACCATCTACCGTACGTTTTGGTCTACTCAACACAACTAAGCGGTTCTTTTGATAAGGCGTTTTTGTCATTTAGTCTTCTTGAAAATTCAAATACAAATATCTTTATTTATTTATCTTTATAAATGTTGTTTTTTTTTAAGAATTTATTCCTATATCTTCGTTTTAGTTGTTTTGTCTTTATAGCTTATTATCTTGTATGTATATTGAATTCATTATTTTATGATATAATATTATATGATATAATCAAAATGTATATGAGGTCAATTCGCATCTAAGCAATACATATTGATCTTTTTGAAATCATTATTAATATTGCATGCTTTGCAATTAAGCTGCATCTTTATTTTACTTTACAAAATGATTTAGAATGTGTAACATTTCTTTATTAACTAAATTGTCTTTTTTTTATAAACCTTGTCTCATCAGCAGCCGATTTTTTGTTTGTTTGTTGTTTTACGTTGTGTACGTTTCTGGGTTAAAAGAGTCATTTGAGCGTCTTTTCTTTCTTTCTTTCTTTCTTTCTTTCTTTCTTTCTTTCTTTCTTTCTTTTCTTTCTTTCTTTCTTTCTTTCTTTCTTTCTTTCTATTCTTTCTTTCTTTCTTTCTTTCTTTCATTTTCAAGTAAATCAGAATGTCTTTTGGTTTGTTTATTTGTTTTTATGTTGTTGTTTTTTTTTCTTTAATGAAATAGATTTATATTGTATCATTTGGGGTTTTTTTTATTATTTTGAATCAACCGAGGCATGTTCTTGCGCATGAATTAGTCAATAACTTAAGTCAATAGATACGATCGAGTTAATTTATTCACTTAATTCAATCACTTTAAGGTAATACAAAGTTATCGTTTAATGAAAGAGGGATAAAAGTAAATGGCCATTGCTATACATGCATATATTTGATATATTAAAGAAAAAGACACAAAGAAAAATACTCAGGTGAATGTCTGAAATATGAACTAATATTTGCGACGAAATATTTCTTTTCGGGTTAATCAATATATTAACATAAACGCAATTATATAATTTGCATCCACTAATGCCTTTGATGTTACCGTTAATTGATCCGGATCAGATACGGTCAGTTTGATTAAGCGGAACACCACGTGACTTGCCAGTGTGATGACGCAACAGAAAATATGCAAAGTTATCGGATTTGATTGGATGACTTGTATCACGTGGTTTTAGACAGAATCCAAAGCCATTTCATCTTTGTGATAAAACGTATGAAAATAAAATTTTCCTTATCATTTCAGATAAACTGTTTGAGCGATAACGTTGATAAACAAAGTGCTCTCCTAGAAGAAGGAAAAAATACACTAAAAAGTAATTTGAGTCTTGTGTGCAATTTGGATTACGTAAAAAAAGTGAAAGTTAAGATTTTACTAATCTAACGCTAGTGTTGTAGTTTTAGATTTATATAGTGAACAACGACTGTGATTATGTTGTATAAAGTACCAGATCAGGACGAGAATCAGTACCTTCAGAAAACGGAAGCAGACGACAATTACGAGAAACTTTACACAAAACCGGAACCAGTCCAGGACTTGAATTCTGGTTCACCTACCATGTTTCAACCTTCAGTACCAGCAATGTCAACTCCACCCACCTCATCACCGTCCTACCAGGACCCACAGACAACAAATAACCTTGGATATTCTAGTTCAATGTATGTACCGGGATCAAGATCCGTACTTCCGTCCATGCAGTATCTTAGCAACGGTAATCAAGCTTCTTCAGCCTCGTTTTGGGGAATGCAGCATTCAGATCTTGGATATAGTCACGCACACGGTTCAGGGAATGTTTCTCCTTTAACAAAGCCATTTTCATTTGACCCAGCACAGAACTCCACTTCACCAACATCTCGTGCTGAAGGCATGGCATATCCATCTACCGGGGGAATCGCCCGTCCAAACCCGTACCCTTCCTACATGGGCGCCGATATCTCACCATGGAGTATGGCCATTCAACAGGGACTTCATAGGATCGGAGCCGGTAAGTTATGATTAAACAAGATCTGTTAAGAATTGAAGGATTTTAAAATAAAAAAATATTTACAAAAACAAAAACTCACAATCTTACTTGAAAAAATAAAAGTTTTTAAAATTATTGAAAGCAAAGCTTAAATTGCGAAGTTTATCAAATTAAAGACATCGAAAGTATTCAGACTGTATTTAAGATAATTTATGGAAATCAAATGAAGTTTAAGTCTCGAATCATTAGAAAAGTGATTATTTTTGTATCCTAAGGAACAAGCTAGAAGACCAACCTCTTATTAACTGCGAAAATAAAAACTTAAAATAAGTCAGAAGAGATAACATTAAAATAGGGACATTGAACATATGTGGAGCTGAGATATTTTACAACTCTTTTTTTCTATATTTGCAGACGGACAAGAATATTTCGCTGACATCGAAGCACGTGAGTGCGTGAACTGCGGGGCTATATCCACACCTCTCTGGCGCCGTGACGGAACCGGACACTATCTTTGCAATGCCTGTGGATTGTATCATAAAATGAACGGAGGTCTAAATCGGCCCCTACTTAAACCACAGAAAAGACTTGTAAGTGCATTATTCAATACCAACCAATTAGTGAATTAAAGAAAAAAACGAAATTTTGCTTAGATTATGAGAAAAATAGAACGTTTAATTACGAATTACTACCGCTTGCTTCACACATGATGCATTTTCTTTAACTAGAACTGTTGATAGGCATTCCCAAACGCTATGGGAAAATGTTTTTATTAAATCTTCTAGCAAATTACACTTGCATTAAATTGAAGACTCTTTTTTTAAACAATTAAACGATACTGTTGTAAAATGTTAAATGAAACCATGCTTTTACATCCTGAAATAAAATAAAATTGGTTTAAAGGAGTAGTCAAACGATTGCACATTAAAGCATTTAGACTTTAAAATGTATTTAAGTTCGTCGCAGTTCACATAATATAGAAATGGTAAACTCTGTGTTGAAATTAATTGATTTAGTCCTCAATTTTGGCTCTGATTCAATATTCAAATTAGTTAAATTATCAGAAAACTTTATCTAAATCAGATATTCAACATCGTCTGTGAATTTAGATACAGTATTTAGTATGTTTTTATTTTTTAAGAAAACCACTACCCTACTTTATAGTCTCTAAAAACCTCTATCCTACTTTAATAGATATTTATTACTCACTTTCAGCGCGTATTTTAATCGCGTGTCAGATTTTTATCTTTTTATTTTCATTTCGGATGCAACTTGAATTAATGAAAGATGAAATGATTTAGACAAGATATATATACTCAATATTAAGTGCACATTTTCATAAATGAAACACTGGAATTAATGTCAGATTTTCTTTTTTACCTATATGTGACCTATGAGTTAATATGAAAGAAAAGAAAACTTACTCTTTTGTAAATGTACTTTATTGCGCACATAATGTAAGTTGACTGCATGGTACCCTTTTGTAAGAGAAGGCACAGACACGCTACCAGTTAAAATAAACATATTATGCATTTATCTAACTGTTAATATTGTAATAAAGACTAATGATTTAACCCGTTACCACACAATATGTCTAACATGGATTTGTCTATATTTCAATCTGGACAATAACCATCATTATTGGAAAATTCTCAAAATAAGTATGGCCTGAATAGCGAACAGTGCAGATTATGATCAGACGGCCAAGAGGCTGAACTTGGTATGCACTGACCAAATGGGTAGAATCAGTTACCGCTAGCAGGCTAACAGTTAATGTGTGTCCTTTTTTTCTATACTGTGTATATATATGTATATAAATTGTTGGCAACATTCGAATTTAAGCAAAAAATTATAAAAAAAATCACTGTAGCTGTAGTATACCGTAGAATTTAACTAATTTCTCTGTTTATCTGTCTCGAAATCCTTCTTTTTAACTGTTTGAATGACTAACAATCTGTTTTACCTCTTTCTGTTGTAGAGTGACGGCGACTACCAATCATTTTACCCCACCCACCCTTATATGACCGGCATGGGCCCGTGGATGAATAATGGACAGTTTATAAATAGAGGAAAAGTAGGTTCTAAAATATGTTGTTGTTTTTTTAAAGTCAAGTTCTTTAAACTCTGAATCAGAGCCAAGTCAATTTTAAATTAAGGCAATTTGTTTTTTATTTGCAAGGTCTCTGTTTAAACAAATAATTGTTTGAATACCACAAGCTATACAATTCCTAGTCTTACGGAAGCAAACGAAGATCATCGAATTTTCTTAACTTGTAAAGTTATGGCAATGGTTATGAAAACTTGAAGAAAGAAAAACATTTAAAATAAGCAACACATTTTAAGAAACGAAGAATAAAATTAAATCGTGAAATTTCCAAGAAAAGTTCATTTGTCAACATGTATACATTTTCCAATGTTCAAAGAAGAATGCAGGGTACTCTTTCAAATCTCGTGATTTTTACATGACATCATTGTTTTGATAGATTTTCTTCATTTACTTAAATATCAATTTCAATTCCTCACAGAGTGCCTCCCGACGGGTCGGTCTAGCTTGTGCCAACTGTCATACAACGACGACGACGTTATGGCGTCGCAACAGTGAGGGTGAACCAGTATGTAACGCTTGTGGGCTCTACTACAAACTTCACGGGGTATGTCTATCAATCTATAATACAAATACATACGCATATATTTCTTTGTTAATTAAATGTGAAAAGGGTATTTCTGAAATAGACACATTTGCAAGTTCAAGAACAAAATTAATAGCATATAAACGTTAAAAACAGCTAGAATACTGTACTGTCCGTTTGAACCCACCTTAATACCTGATCTCTGTGAACTGTTCATTTATTACTAATCTAAGGCTTCTTGAAAAATTGAAAAAAAAGTGCAAAGTTCGAATATAGTATGTAATTATACAGAGCAAAACATCAGCTTTTTTATATGTATCATTATTCAAAAAGTTGTGTTTTTATGTTATAAAAATCAGCGGGTGTTATCGGCAAACTGTCTCGAAGTGATGCCGCCATTTTTCATCCTGACATCACGTTGTAAATCACTCATTTCTGCTTACGTTTTTATATCCAAGTCATATAACTCAACACTTAAAAATTTATATGATACATTCTGGGCAGCTCATGTAAGATATATACAATTTCTACGGCTCAGTTCTTGGTTGTTGTTGTTTTTTTACTTTGAGGTAACTGGATCATTTGCTTCTGTAAATCAATAGTTGTTATTATTCCTTACTGTAGCTTTAAGTTAAACAACTTTTAATGGACAGAAAAATAAGCCAAAATATCGTACACTCTACCTTCAAACAAGCACACACTTTTTTTTATCAAAATGTTGTTTTTCGATGTCAGAAAAGTAACTCATTGCATTTATATATCCGGGTTATTTTTCTGAACAGTTTTAAGGGGTTCTTTTTTTTCTTCAAAATCAATAAAATTTGATACTGTACATTGTGAATTCAAGGGATTTCAACATCAGAATGTTGTTTTGACAACAATTGTATAAAATCATGTCGGACTTCTCTGTGAAGATTTCTGGCCATGCTTAACTTGTATCATTGACAAGTCAGAGTTGTCGTCAGTGGTCAGGGAGTTAGAGGTGTTACATTAAAACTCGGTTATAGCGAACCAGTCGGTACGTTATATCCGGAATTTCTTATAGCCAATACAAAATGTATTAGGAATTAGTTATAAACAACCAATTTTTTTTTTTTTAATTTCGATTTTTGTTAAGGTAAAAATGCCGTCACTGATCAAGTGGTTAAAGGTGTAAAACTATTATATTTTTTGTGAATGCAGGTAAACCGACCTCTGGCAATGAAGAAAGACGGTATTCAGACTAGAAAACGTAAACCAAAGAACCTGAAGTCAGCTGGAAATAGCAACAATTCTGACAACAACAACACCGTCAAATCCGAACCAAGTGGTAAGTTTATATGAAGATTTTTATTTAGAAATTATTCAGAAAGTGTTTTGTAATTACTGATTTTTTGGAGAAAAAAAATTGAATGCTGTACGTGTTAAAAATCCAAAGAAATTGAAACGAAAACTTTTGCCATACTTTTTTCTATTGGTTTCTTGCTTTGCAATCTTGAAAAAGGGAGACCAAGTGATCTGCTTAAGCATTATTATTATTTTTTTAATATAGTACTACAATATTGTCCTGAATCATAGCTAATTATATATTTTCACTTGTAGAAAAGCGTACGACTGTGTCTCCACCCCAGGAAAACAGTGGGCCAAGAGAAAGCGTTGTCGATGACTCTATTTCCGGTTCCGGAAGAATGCATCAAATGACGTCATATCCTGTTTCTGTAAAATCAGATCGTGAAAGTCCAAAAGAAGCTCACAACGGTTATTCATCGTCTTTTCTTACACTGACACCACCTAAAGCATTAGGAGACAACATTGACAAAGATGGACACTATCAGCATTTGAGTGCGCATGCGCAGCAACTATATGCAGCAAGTCAGAACGCTGGACTAAATATGGGCATTGTAGCTACTTAAAAAGAGCTCCTATTTATGATTGATATGTGTATTTCAGCATTAACTATGTTTAAAAGTGCGTTTGTGTTTATGGACCGTGATGTTAAGTGCCATTTAGTGTAAATAGAAAACATTTTCATAGCCTAGATAAGTAGATAGAATTTAAAGTGAATAAAATGCATAGTGCATTTTTCAATTAATCTTCACTGGTGTATATATTTTCGAGAAAAAATTAACAAAGATTTTCATAAATTAATTATGGAAATATCGTTTCCAGTAGATAAATGATAATATATTCTTTATTGATAAAATGTATAAATAATGATGCCAGATGTAAAAGCCCCAGTAACTGATACTATAATGTATCAAATATTTGTTTTGTTACCATTACATTAAAGAGCCATAACGACCAATTTCACATTCTGTTAAACATAATTATACCAATTTTAATATGATTTGTAACAATACTTTATTTCTTATTCTAAACCATATAATTATACTGCAGTACTTTTAAACAAAATCTCCACATAATTTTATTATCATTTGTATTTACATTACTATTTTTCTGCACGAAATATTTTTGTTATAAAAAGTAGGCCGTCGTGGCTCAAGCTTTTTCTATAATAGAAGGAAATTACATTGGCATAACAGGTAAATAATTTGATGCATGTTCGTTCATTTGTATCTCTTTGTCTTTTATAGTGTTTTGATATTTGTACCAAATCTCAAATGTTTTTACACGACAAATGCGGAAAATGAGTTCTCAATAAAAATGAAATTTAACTTTCCTGACTTTCGTTTTTTTGTTGTTTTTTTTTCTTCTTCTTCCACCACGCCCCCCCCCACCCCCTTGTAATAGTAAAGAAAAAATTTAACCGCTGTACAAAAGCACAGGTTATCGGCGTGGGACCAAGCCCTACCCCTAAGGTACCACCCCCAGGACCATCTATACTACCCAAATATACTTCAATACATTCAAATTACATGTCAATACAAAATCAAACAATTCTCTATCAAAAAATATAATATTGATACTATAAACTATGTAAAGGTATGTAACTCTCCCTTTAAAATCTATGTTTATAGTATCAGTATTATATTTTTTGATAGAATTGTTTGATTTTGTATTGACATGTATTTTGAATGTATTGAAGTATATTTGGGTAGTATAGAGGGTCCTGGGGGTGGTACCTTAGGGGTAGGGCTTGGTCCCACGCCGATAACCTGTGTACAAAAGTATATACATATACATGTATCTCTAACTAAGACACGCTATTTACCGCTTTATCTGGGTGTCATTGCGTTGTATTAAGTCTTGGTGGAGAAGCCAATATGTCGCCCTGTCAATGTGGTATTAAATTTTATTAAACGAAAAAAACATCACTGTTTAAAGATAAGATATATAAAATGACGTCCGTTAAAGACGAGGTCGGCCAGAGTGCAGGGTTGTCTCACATGTTCATAGGTTTCGTCACACGCCTAATGCGTTTCCCCGAATGCAGATTTCTTTTTCTCAAATTTCTTTTCTAACTGTTAACAGGTTTCTGTGGTAAGAAATTCGGAATTTATAACCGTGTCATTAATATAAACAGTAAACATGTTTCTCTATTTCTTTGCCCACGCCTAGAAGGGCGGTGTTAGAGTATAAAATTACCCGAGTGCCATGTCCAATTAGTGATACCATTTGCCTTTCATTAAATCCATACATAAAATTATTCCAATTGTAAAAAATTATGATGATATACAAGTATTAAGAAAGAAAATGAATAATTACTCTAAAAAAACTGAAACATGTTAATGTATCCGAGGGTAATGATAAAATGCTATTTTTGGAAATGGATCAACCACATTCTGTTGTAATATCAGCAAAGATCGCAATGTTTTGCGTGGCATAAGGATCAAGCGTTTAGACCACATAGAGAACACCAAACGCTCTTTTATGAAAAGAGTCCTTTAAAGTTCATTTACGATCAGTTCCATAAATAGGACTAACGTGGATAATATAAGTTGCAAGAACTTGTATTATAATCGATCTCAAATAAAAAAATATGTTTAAATAATGACGATACATAAATATTATTTTTAAAGTTTGAGCCTGGTATTATTATACCGTCATACAAGTTCTTGCTTATCTCTTAATTCTCTTCCCCACCCCACCCACTCCACCCCAACCCACCCCATCACCTCAAACACGCACACGAAACGCACACCATGAACATATATAAATAATATTTTCTAATTTTCGATGACATTGTTTTGCTTTAACATTAATTTTAGATTGAAAATGTCTTTGAAAAAGTGTAATTGCTTTTTACCTGAAAAATTTTTCTTGGTCGACAGCAATCTGTTCAAGTTTAGAATCACACAAATCATTGCAAAAGTAAGGTCATAAATACAATTTTAGTTTGAAGCAGTTTTCAGACAAAGATTTCAAAGTTGACACAATAGAAGCAATCCTACCTGTGTCCGAAGATATCTGAAATGGACTTGTCCATCTTTCAATCTAAACAAAACCAACCATCATCTAATGAGTAATTTCAAAATAAGTTCTGAGATCAAACATTATTCAGAAGGTACAAATATGCAGCTTGATTTTGATCTGTTTTGGTCGCATTCTAAAATTTAGTTGCAGCCGGTAAGCTAGATTTATATAGTATGTAATGTCATTTAACAAGCATATTTTCATTGATATATACATGTATGTATGTTGAATATTTTTTACATACATAATTATGTGAATCTGGCATTAAATTAAACACATACAAACAATAACAAAAAACAACAACAACATCATGGCTTGTGACCCACAGATCGAGTTGGTGGAAGAATCGCAACACCTTCTACAAAAACACGATCGAACATAAACATAAACCGCTTTCACGCCAAAATCTCGAATTACCTCGCGGTGACACTAATTCCCGAGATTTACGATTATTAGCATTACATGCGCGCAAGACATGCGCATCGCCCCGCCTCCCTCGCAGGGAGAAGCAATTAACCAATTTCTTCGTTGCGGGAGAAATAATTATCCAATCAAGCTTAAATTAAGTTCAGTTAAGTTAATGTAACCTATAACCTTTGAGAGGATAACGTTTTGACATTAAGGTATTTGTTAATTATGCACATTACATTAGTAAGTAAACGAGGAATAATTTATGTGGTTTAAGAGACATACCGAATTCATGGTGACTAAAACCGGGCTTAATAAAACAAATTAGAAGAGAACGAACATATGTCTGCAAAAAAAAACAACATAATTTAGCATTTTACTTTTTACAAAATTCACATACATTAGACAATTGAACGTTACATACAGTCGGGTTTTAAAATACACAATACACCGCTATCAGTTCGAATCCCGTTGGGGATTTTGGATTATTTTGTTTGGGGAAGCTATCCAGCTTGTTACCAAAGAGTTGTTGGTTATACTCAGATCTCATAATGTGCCTGAGGGTCATTTTAGATATTAAAAGAAAATCAATCCAAAAAAATACATCACACAGTAAGAAATGTTTATAGTCAATTAATTGAAATTGATATATGGATCAATTATATACAAGGTAATTTTTTTCTTGGCATTATTCTTACACTTTGGATAGACATACGAACGAAAAGTATAAAAAGACACACAGACGGACGAACAGAAAGACATACTTAAAGGCTCATGATTTCTTAAGTAGAAATAAACGTGCGGACCACCAGGACTTGCATAAGGATAGAAAAACACAATGACAATCATAGACAGGAATTAGCAGAAAAACAGACCAGCAAGTGGACATATAATGGCATGCGTACGTGCTGACGGACAGAAGGACAGAGTTACGGGCAAACGAAAGTATATTCAAACGGACCAACCAGGCTTGCAAACGGATAAGGAAACATAAGAACAATTATATGGGTTGACGAACAAGGTAAATGAACAGACGGGGAGACATACAGATGGACGAACAGAATGACATAAATGACATAAAAAATTATTTTACGGTGCGCGACGAGAAGGAAAAATATAAGGGTGTACAGAAAGATGTCAAGACATACAGGGGAACGAAAAGAATGTCATACATACCTCGTGGACAAAAAGGCCACGAACATATAAACTGACATACAGGTGGACAAAAGGACAGACATACGGGTGGACGAACAGAAGGGCAGACATGCGGATGGACTCAGAAGCTTATTGGAAATCTCGTCTAAAGCAAAATGCAAACAAAAGATCAAAAATGCGAAAAAAAAGCAATAGGCAGGAACAAAAAGTAAATAGTAAAATATTACACTGTAATTTTTTTCTAGCATGTAAGTGAAAAATTTTCGCCCGGTGTTTACCAGTAATGACGAGCGTTAAATCTTGTTTATCTTTACGTCAGCTTTTAATCATGCCATGCCTCCATGCCCCATTGCCAGAGAAAACGACATTGACATCTGAACGACATTTTCATGAGACCGAAACATTTCAGAAATGCTGAATTTACCGAACCGAGGGCTACTGACTGACCGGAAATGCATAAATTACGCTAGTGAATCTCACGGATGTGTTGATTTAACGGTCACGTAATAAATCATTGCTAAACATTTTGTTGCTTAGGAAATGAACCATTGCGCATGCCAGTTTGACACGATGTCACGTGATTATGTTACAGCATAAAATACTTTATTATTAGAAAGGTGGGATTGAAGTGGACAGGTCATTGATATTTTGAAATAATTTCAAATCTATATATTTAATGTAATTAATTCACATGATAAACTTTAGAAAATTTTAATCTAACGCTGTTAGAAAACTCTTAGAAAATTGTTTCATTTACATTTATTTCGAAAGTATGTATGTAGTCTATGCTTAATTTGAGACCATCATTAAGAGGACATTAAGGCACAAAAGCAAGTTCGCTGCCGAGTATGAACCATGTGCAATTTCCGGAGAAATAAACTTCGTGTCGAAAGTAGGTCTCTGCACAGCGGTCAACGAGCACCTAAACGTACAGTAACAATAGACAATAATGAAAGGAGCTTCGCCCTGAAAAGGGCTGTTTATGCTGGCAAAATGCGCCACCGTTCAAGTCGTCTCTTCGTACTAGGCACCCAAGTACCCTTCCTCTCCGTCTCTGTCAAATTTAGGGTCAATCCCATCGGCATAAGTCAAGACACCGGCAGCTAACTTCATACACACTAAGTCGTGCCACCTTGAACGCTACCCCATGTAAACTTGCAGTCTTACTCGTTGCAGTGGATCTTCTCAACAACGAGCACGTACCGAGGGGAAGAGAGGTGCTTTGCTCATGTATGACGTCACGTTGTCACGTGGTATTTCTCCAGTGTCAATTTTCAATATAAACTACTTAATTAAAACAAAAATCGCTTAACACACCCATTAATAATTTAACAAGCAGTAGGAAAAAAGTAGGACATTGATATTTACGATTTTTACGACAAAATCTACAAATAAATAGTTCTGATCGTGAAGTGACATTTAAGATGAATGTCATAGTTCTTGTCAACCCTCCCACGCCGCCAACTAAATTAATCTAAACTTTCACAGAAAAAAAGAGGTTTACGTATACAAAAATAAATTAATGCACGTCATCAGAATTAGATGTTTTCGGAACAAATGTAAACTTTTTTTAGTAAGACATTAATCATGTCACGCAGTACTACCGTAGAACCTTGCGTCATGGCCTTAATGTGTTTATGTACGAGTGCATGTGTGTATGTATATTAAAGTATGTATTTGTGTATTCTAGGCTTAATAAGGGCCAATGCGCCCGTTCAGGCACTGAGTACGAAACTTGTACATG